ATTATGTAAAAAGTTTTCATTAAGTTTAATAAAGATAAGAGCATGGTCTCACCTTTAACATTAAAAAAAAAAATAAAAATAAAAATGTTGGTTTATCAAATTCATTTAAATCAAATGTTTACTATATATCTTGATAAATATACCGTTTTGATTTTCTCTTTTGTATTTAAATCAAATTCAGGCAGATATTTTCATATATGATCCTAACAAAACTCTATATTTCGGACCATCCTTCCCTACTGAAAATCCAATGGCGTAGCCATCTGTGGAATAGAATCTAACCAAAATTTCATATTTAATTGTATACTCAGAGAGGGAGGAGATCTAATAGATGTTAACTGTGTATCAAAAAGATCAATTTGCTCTAACCGAAATGGTCCTTAGTCTGATTTTTTACTCAACGCTATATGCACCACTTTTAGTGCTATTAAATTTGGGTGTGTGAATCTATAATGAAATCAAACCTTTGATCTCACAAGTAATATTAATAATAAAATTACTCACATTGGTTAATTTACAATAATAAATTATACGAATTGTTTATCTGTGTATAAATATCATGTTCTCGAAGTATTCATCACAACGTTATAAAATTATCAAATGATTTCTTCAAATATTAAACTGGTTTATTATTCAGAACTCTATCACGGTGTTGATATTAAAAAGAATTTTTTTGAAGGTTGGTATTTTAAAATGGCGTCGAATGACAGATAAGTAAATAATTATCATATCATGTAAAAATTACTATTAATTATACTAATGAGATATGTTTAATTGTTTTTTTATTTTATGAAATCTCTTAACGGTGAGTCTTACATTTATTAATTATGACTATTCTGTATACTAATTATATATACTAATCGTTAATTATCATTTCAGACTATGTATGTTTGCGTAATGGTGAGTGAAAATCTTTATAATAAATATGCCAAGTGTTTAAGCATGATTTATAGAAAAAAATTTATTAAATTTAATCAAGTAGCTATTATATATTTTGAAATCTTTTAAAATTTAATTAAAAA